CTGACACTTTATATGCTGATAGTAGCTATGTTATGTCAGAATGGACGTAAAGGTTGTTTCATTGGCTTTCTCCATAAAGCACTCATTGTGCGCTTGTGTTTGGTGCTGGAGAAAGAGTTCAAGTGGACATCCCTGCGCCCTGCTGAATGCCTTTCATGGCCCTGCATTAACATCACTATGCCGCTGACAGAAATATTGCTCTCTTTGTGTGTCTTTTACTTTGTTTTTTCCCTTGTAATTGCGCCTGCATTTTTTCTCTTTCTGCTGGCTGTTAGATGCACAATATTTCATGTCTCATAGTTTTGTGTAATATGCTTTGTCCATTGCAGGTTGTCTCATCCTTGTATTGTGGCTCTAAGTCATCCATCTCACTATGGGCAGCCTACTGAGCGGGGCCAGTAAAGGGGCCAGTGGCATTCAGTCGCCACAGACCTCATCACGTCACATATGCCACTCGCTGCTTGATAAGAAACAATATAGCAAAAATTCCCGCTGCCCAAACAAAGGAGCCATGCATCCGCTGCTGTCCCTGTGTGTTGTCTGGCTGCTGTCCATGGCCTTGGCACTAGGAGAAGAATCCTCAGTAAACTCTTTTCCCCGTAGAACTGTCCCCTATCACCGTAAGTGGTTTCTTTTTAATATGAAATCACGTATTTGTTCCAACAGCTGGTTTTGTTTATTGGTTATGACAGTAATGTTTTACCTTCAGGGGACAATATTTACATGTTTCATGAGGAAGGTGTCTTCAACTATTCCACTATGCTGTTAAGAGAAGACTTGGGCCTGTTGGTCATTGGAGCCCGGGAGGCAGTTTATGCTGTAGATCTCCATGATGTCTCTAAAAAGTTGGCTTCAGTAAGAAAACATTTAGTTAATACTGACATTATCAATGACAAAATAATGCAATAACAGTTTGTTCTAGGTGCACAAAAGTCCTAATTCTCAATAGTAACACGGAAATTACAACAGTTGTCCTTGATCAAGACTAACCACAGTTTAAATGTTCACTTAGGTGAAATGGGAAGTGACACAAAAACAAAGAGAGGATTGTGGAAACAAAGGGAAAAACCCAGAGGTATGACATTGCTCTATTTTGCCCTTATTTTGGCACATTGAGTTTTTATCAGAGGCGTCTGTTACAGACTGAGTGCAAGAACTATATTAGAATCCTCCATGAAATGGAAGACAACAGAATGTATGTGTGTGGGACTAATGCTTTTGACCCAATGTGTGACTACATGGTAAGATATATTTAATGTCATTGGTCACATTTTAAAAATAAATAAATGAATTAAACATTGAATCAAATATGACCTAAAAACTAAATCTGGCTTGTATTTCTCTACCAGTCATATGTAGATGGGAAAATGATGCTTGAAAACAAGACTGAAAATGGCAAAGGCAAATGTCCATTTGATCCATATCAAAAATATGCTTCTCTTATGGTTGGTATGTGGCATTCATGATTTGTTAGCGTAAGCTTAAATATTTAAATGAATCTAGTATTTTGTGAATTTTCATAACACTGCTCCTGTGTTTTATAGATGATGACTTGTACTCTGCCACTTCTATGAATTTCCTGGGTTCAGAGCCTGTTCTTATCCGGAGTCCTGACGTTTCAATTCGAACTGAGTTCAAAACCTCATGGCTCAATGGTAAGATGAACTCTTAGTTTGTTTGTATGAGATTTTTTTAGGAGACTTAATATGACATTGTATTTGTTTTAATATCTGTGGCAGAGCCCCACTTTGTATCGATGGCCTATCTGCCTGAGAGTGTTAACAGTACTACTGGAGACGATGACAAGGTTTACCTGTTCTTTAGTGAGACAGCAGTCGAGTGTGACTGCTACAATAAGCCTGTGGTGTCACGTGTGGCCCGTGTGTGCAAGGTAAATGTGTCTTCTTTTTTTTTTTTTTTACGATCAGTACCAAGTGTGCAACAATGGCGCCTGTCCACTATGAGGCCTGTTTGCTGATGCTTAGCTGTGTTGCGTTCTCACACAGGGTGATCTAGGAGGGCAGAGGACCTTGCAGAAAAAGTGGACTTCTTTCTTGAAGGCTACACTGGAGTGTCCCGTCCTGGAGTCTCAGCCGCCTTACATTATCCAGGATACTTACCGCTGGTGTGACCCCAAGAAGCCCTGGACTAGCTGTTTGTTCTACACCATCTTTACCCCTCAGTCGTATGTTGCAAAGTTTTGTTGGTCGTAGATTTGGATGCTACTTGTGCCTCACTTCTGTAATTCTGTGTTTTAGAGACACATCAGACTTGTCGGCTGTGTGTGTGTACAAAGTGTCAGACATCAGCCAAGTGTTTTCAGAGGGCAAGTACAAGACCCCAGTCACTGTAGAGACGTCTTTTGTTAAATGGGTGATGTATAGCGGAGAGGTCCCTTCTCCACGGCCAGGAGCAGTGAGTTTTGCCCAATACTTATAAAAAAAAAATCCTCAAAAGTATTTTTAAAGCAGGCAATTGTCTTTTTGTTGACTGATCCTATTGTCTGTGTTCTTTTCCAGTGTATTGACAATGCAGCTCGTAAAGCGGGTATAAATGAGACTTTAGACCTCCCTGATCAGACCCTTGAATTTGTCAAAAATAGGCCTCTCATGGACCAGGTCATTCAGCCCATGGGAGGAAAACCCAGTTTGGTCCGAAAGGGGGCCATGTTCACACAAATCATTGTTAACCAAGTGCAGGCTGAGGACAACAAAACGTACCACGTCATGTTTATAGGCACAGGTTTGTTGGGGCAGAAAAGAAATACATTATTTGACCATATTCATTTTGGCGATTATACATTACAGTATGTCTTTTGCAATGAATGCAGAAAATGGCACCATTGTGAAAGCTGTGAACTATAATGGCGAAATGTTCATCATTGAGGAAGTACATGTCTTTAAGTTAGCAGAGCCCATTAAGATCCTTCGTTTTTCCACCGTCACAGTAAGTCTTTTAAGATGCATGTCAATAATTTGGTCTTTTTTTAAAATGAATAAGTATATGGTTTGTCCCTGTCTGTATAGGATCAGCTGTATGCTGGCTCAGACTCCGGAGTAGTGCAGATACCTTTGGCCACCTGCGAAAGGTCTTCCACCTGTATGGACTGTGTTCTTAGCCGAGACCCATACTGTGGCTGGGATGACAGGACAGGGAAATGTGTGACTCTTCTTTCAAAATCACAAAAGTAAGTGGTTGTGTTCTCATATAATCTGGTTGTGGGAATAAAATATTTGCTACAAATATTTACATTAGCTTAAACATTTTTCCTAGTAAACTCATACAAAGTGTGCAAGATGGTGATGCATCTCTTTGCCCAAAACCAGGTGAGTACAATGACATGACCAAGGACAATATTTCAATATAGTCACAATGCAGCACACGGAACTAATTAGCTCCAATGTTGTTGCTTAAAACGTGAAAGATTAGCTTGATACGAGTGCCCCTGTATTAGAGCCTATTTTATACAAGTTCCTTTCCATCAATATTAAAATAGTTTTAGATCAGCAGCCTTTTTATGGAAAAAGTGATGCCGTTGTTCTGTTGAAGGAGTCTTTGTGACTTCCACTCAAATAAGTTTGTCAGCAGTATGGGCCAGTTGGGGGAGGCTCAGAATTTCTGACAAGTCAGAACAGTTTCCAGAAAGAAATGTTGAGAGTGTGAGTGAGTGCTTCTCATGATAAAATAATGATAGATCTCATCATCAGAAGATCTAAGGGCTATAGTTTTATCATTTTGATAAGTACCAGTAGTAGAATTCTAATATTAAAGGTGCACTGTGTAACTTTTTTTGGTGGAGGATCTGCCACCTGCTTGTCTCCACAGATATTGTGGAGTGTAAGTGTAATGCCACACTGTAGAACATTCCAGGCAATATCTCTATGGAAAGAAGCAGGTGATGGCCCCTTCACCAGAAAAGTTCATGTATTTTTAAGAGTATATGGCTGCTTCAAGTTTATTGTGCTGTCATTTAAAATCCCTACTTAAAATGTTTTGATCCAGCAAATCCAAATTGAAAAATGTATAATTTTCTTTTTGTATTGTATTGTATTTATTAAGTTAACTCTGGCTCTGGTTATTTTCAGCCCCATCTACACCGGTTAATCAATCTGTTAGGGTTGGTGGAAGCCTGAAGCTTCACTGTACTAATCCATCCAATCATGCTGTAACCATCTGGGAGCAAGACAGGCTAACACTGAACCCTACACATCGTCACCATTTTTTAAAAGATGGTTTGCTGATTTTAAATGCTTCAGACTCAGATGCTGGTCTGTACTCCTGTCTCTCAGTTGAACGTTCCAAAATGAACACGTACACAAGCACTGTAGTCGAGTACCAAGTTACCATAGCCTTGTCTGGAAAGGAGGATGGCATTGGGTTTCCTCATGCACAGCGGGATGGCCTACATGTTGCTATTGCAATCTTTGCAATTGCTTTTTTTGGGCTATTTTCATGGAATATATACAAAGGACATTTTACTCGGTCATGCAGAGACAAGAGTGGACAACTGTCTCCTGAGGTCCACGAGGAGATGGCCTTAGACTCCATTGTTGTGGTTATTATTGACCACAACAATGGAGAAGCCACATAGTGTTATTGAATAAAAGTAACAGATAAGTTTGAACTGGTACCTATTGAGAAGATTCACTTTTAAAAACATCCCTAGTTCTTATAAGTTTCAATATTTTTTACAACAAGCAAAAAGAGCCTTTTATTTTTATCAATGCCACTGCATTTTCTTTACATTAACCACTTACCATCCTATGGAAGCCCATTTCCGCCAGTAAATCAAAAATAAAAGCCTCACAGAAACTCATAATTACGACTTTTAAACTCATAACTTATGATTTTAAAACTCATAACTATGATTTTAAAACTCATAATTACGAGTTTTAAACTCATAATTACGAGTTTAAAACTCATAATTACGAGTTTAAAACTCATAATTACGAGTTTAAAACTCATAATTAAAAAAAAAAAACATTCACATGGAATCACGGTGAGCAAACGCACCCTTGAACGGATTTTAAGCAAAAGAGGACTCTGGCGGCGTAAAAATAAAACAGATGTGGCTGAAGTGGCAGCGTTTATCGAGCAACAGCTGGAGACATCTGGTCAGTACCACGGCTATCGATGGATGCACCAAAAATGTTGGGTGAACAATATTGTGACAGACCGTGAGACTGTTCGTATTTTACTTCGATTATTGAACAGTGAAGGTGTTGATCTGCGGTCAAGAAACAGGCTACGAAGACGAGTATACCACAGTCGAGGTTCCAACTATGTCTGGCATATTGATGCTATGACAAGATTAAGCCATTTGGAATTGCAATCAGTGGATGTATAGACGGTTTCTCCAGGAAGATGATACGGCTGGAAGCTTACAAAACAAACAACGACCCAAAGGTTATCGCTGGCTACTTCATGGATGCTGTGATCACTGCAGGTGGTTGTCCAGCTAGAGTCAGGCTTGATTTAGGGACAGAATGGTCATGTTGGAGAATTTCAGCGCTTTTTGAATTATTCTGGAAACCGAGCAGAAACAGACCCAGTATTTTCAGGTCCCAGCACTGGAAACCAGCGGATTGAACGATGGTGGCTCACCCTGCGAAGTGAATGTATTCAATATTGGATGGATCTATTTGACAAACTCAAAGAAGACGGACACTTTTTAGACAACTTTTTGGATAAGTCCTTAATCCAATTCTGTTTCCTGAAAACAATACAGGTAAGCCTAAATAACCTTCTATTTTTATCCTGTTTAATAAGTTATTATACAACAAATATAAACAACATTAGTAACTATTATTACACGACAGTGCCATCTAGTGGTTAAAGTGAAGAGCAATGTGCTTCATATGTACTGTACATTTTATTTGTCTTTATCCTAGGATGAACTTAATGAGATTGCACTGACTTGGAACAACCATCGCATCCGTCAAGTCAACAATTCAAGATCGCCTCATGGACGTCCTTCCCGTTTTGTACGCGGTTCCACACCTGTACGGTGGTAGAAACTATTTGCATCCTATAGCCATGGACAAAGTCTCACTCTGCCTTGAAGAATGCACCTTCAGAGATTTCCCATGTGATGAAGATGTGTTCAGAATCTGCGTGGACTTGATGGCTGAGCGTAATTTGTATTTTTCAAATGATGTGTATCAAACAGTTGACCTCTATATCCGTTTGAGAGAGTTAATCAATAATGAATTGCAACAGTGATCAAACATGCACAGACTAATTCTACAATGTAATGATGTCATACTCCTAGATGGGAGGAAAGAGCCAGTTTTTCCTGTTGAGTACATTCTACTTTAACATGAATATCCAAAAGGTAAACTCACAAATTCTGAACCTGATCACTTCTGTTAGTGGCTAAAACCAAGAACTCACTGTATTACAACAAAAATCTGCATTTCAACAATATTCATTTTACCTGAGCCCCAGCTGTATTAAACAATATTGGCCTATTGAATGTTGTGATGTCATCTGAAACCCAACAATAAAGACTAATAACTGAACAAAGTTTGTTAATTAATTGTTCACTATCACACAATAAGAACTACAGATTATATCTATTTCTGTGGTAAATTAATTTGTTGTTAAAATTAGGATTACTTTATATTTTCCAAAACATTTACGCTATTATGGCAAGTATGTGCAAGTAGTTAACAACATAATAATGTAAATGAATATTTAAATGAATAATAAACCAGACTGAAGATTCAAAATTACAAGAAGTTTTATTCATTTGATCAAACTTTTTCACATTCACTTCAGGAAATGAATAATGCAATAGCACCTCCGGACAGGAAATGTAAGAGTATGAATAGACCAGCTATATAACAGTTTTAACAATGCAAAAGTCCAAACAAACTTAAATCATAATGAAGAGATACAGGTGAATTGTATCTTTTGAGTAATCTATATCTAAAATGGTAGTTAATGAATGTTGTGTAAAAATGTGGCAAACAACAGCAGCAACAACAACAATAATCAAAGTGAAACCAGTAACAAGACTATATTAATACCAATATGCTAACAGAATTCACTTTTTCATTTGGCCTAAAATCACACAATATCCATAACCCAGATGTTACTCTCCAGCACTTTGTTCATTTCATGTCGAACATCGGGGTAACTTTCATCGGTAACTGGCAGTTCTAAGTAACAACCACAGGTGTGTGCAACAGGCTTCTCTGAAACCCATTCAGCTCTGTAAATGACACCACAATGTTTTTTCCTGTAAATACATCTGATCCTGTACAAAACCTTAGGAAACTGGAAAGACTCTTGAAGATATGTCGTTACATATTTGACTCTCTGTTTTTCACTGGCATTTGGATTACATGGATAAGTGAGCGACTTCATTATCTTGCGTGATGTTGGTTGTAGTTCCTCATATGCAGTTGCAATCCCCTTCAGCTCTGACTTCATCCCCACAAGCATATTACTCCACTGCTCAATGACAAAGGCTGGCTCCTGAACACATCTCTGGTGAGCAAGCTCTCTTAAGATTTGCTTTATGTTGTTTGGTGTTGGATGTCTGCGGCAGTTATGCAAATCAAGAACTTCTAATAACTCATCTTTGTCAATACTTTCAAAATCTGAACAGCAAGTCTGAAATATGACTGGCTCTGAGTGTGACACGTACTTGAGGAAACTATCCAACAGATCAGTCTCTACATCACCAAGAACAGCTTGCTCAAGAATAACAGGAGCAAGTTTTATTGGAAGATGCTTTGCTCGTTTCCAACCAAAAGCAATGATTCGACCAACACTTTCCCATTCCTCTTTTCCATAGTCATGTCGTAAGTATGGTACTTTAAAGTCATTCCCCATGGTGCATTGTTCATAAAAGTCATTCCAAAACTCTGATAGCACATCCCTTAGTACACCACCATCATCCTTGGCCTTTTCCACTTTCCCATCAGGAAGAATGACTTTAAAGTGGATATTCTTGTTCACAATCTCTTCTTCAGAAAACACCTGAATAAGCTCATTAAGAATTTGGCCTCGATGAACCACAACAATGGTTTTCTTTTTTTTAGACATATTCAGAAAAGTAGGCAACTCTTCTTCAGTTAGTGGCAAAGTATCATCAAGATGACTGGAGGATTCCATTTCTAACAGGTCTGCAGTGCGCAAAGTCACAGTCCCACTATCTTCCAAGTCGTTCACATTAAGTGTTGTTTCTTGTTCTGGTAAACTATTAAAAAGACTTTCATCACCATCTGAAGACTCAGTGCTTCCAAAAGGTCCAATATAAATCACATCTAAATAGTTTAGCTCCAAAACTGTTGAACTGGAGCTGCCTGAAGGTTGAGATGGTACATCAAAGTGATCATATATATGTACAGATTCAACACTGCTCCCCTCAAGATTCCCTTCTGTGTCTTTTTGTATCTTCTTGGTTTTTAAGTAAAAACGCAGCATTGGCAACCTGGTTCTTTCATACAGTTCCTCAACAGTAAAATCTTCAACTAAGGGATTTTCCTGAAAGTTGGTTAAATCCACTTCAAAATCTGTACGTTTGCCTACTGCATTTTCCCCCCCAGGAAAAAAACAGTTGCAGTGCTCTTTCTATGAGGTCTGTCTTTGTACTCTTCTTTGGCACACTTTCCTTTCGTGTTCCACCACCCTTTTTAGTGCGCATATGCACATACAAGTTGTCTAGTTCCCTGAAATGTAGCCACCCCAGCTCAATTTTTCTGTCATTTTTCCTGCTTTTCTTTACATTAACATGTTCTTTAACTGTAGCATTATCTTTTTGGTTTCTGGCTAGCTTTACTTTAAGTCTTTCAAATAGTTTTGACTTCCGACTGCTTGGTTCTTCTTGCCGTCTACAGTGTCCAAACACAGCTACTCGGTCGCCATACGATGGTAGGTACTCATTCAGTTCCTCATCGCTCATGAGCTTTATTACACTGGGATCAATCTAGAGTAAAATACACAGAAACAGAAATAAGGCATTGTTTCCCAAAGTGTGACATGGTTGATATGTATGAAGTCATAATAGTAAAATCATCTGCCTACCTTGTCCTGTTCCATTCGCTGGATAGCTTCTTCATCCACATGTCTTGATCTCAGATACTCGCACAGCTGATCCATATTGATTTTTACTGACTGCAATGAGCAAAATGGTCAACTAACTGGTAAACATATGGCTATATTAATGTTCCCAACATAAAAATAGTATCCAGTGCTTGCAAATAAATTATAAATACATCAAATACAATTTTTTTTTTATTTTTTTTTATTGTAAAACTTGGTACACTTTAGGCTCATATTCCTGGCATGCCAAATAAGTTGGGGAGGAAGCGATTTTAAATTAGCCAATGCAGTCATCCGAATCGTTAAATCCTTTAAATGCTAATGGATAACGTTATATGGCCGAGATATGTACAAAATAACAATCACCCGAGAAGATAACCTACTACTACTAAGTACCTGCGACTTGCCCGACATCCTGAGCGTCAAACCGGTAGAAAATACTTTATCCGACAGATGTAAACAAACTGCGCCATGATGCTAATCAAACGTGTGCCTCTGCCGTCTAGAAACCTGATACCTGTGTGACAGTTCCCACCA